CATCTTCATTCTTACACCCTTCGCATCCCTTCGCATTAATCACCTTCGCATTTAACCTAATTAAATCAAATGCGATTCACAAAATTTTTCCTTCCAGATGCGAACACAGTTTAGTTCTTGAACTCTAAACTTGCGAAATCAAAATTTTCATATGTTGAACCCATATGCGAATATTAACCCAATTGACTTCAAATTGATTCATAGATGCGAACACTCGATTGTTTTACTTCGCAAAATGAGCATCAACAACTCCACAATCGAGTTTTTAAATTCTTGCAAACAACAATTTCATAGTCCTTGACTTCGCGTTTTTCTTCACGAATCATCCTCAATCATCAATCCAATTGCGAATCAAAAACTCATATGTTCTTGCTTTATCGATTCATCGACTACTCATACAAATGCGAACAATACTCAATTTCAAAATCGATTGAAACTTATAGCAAAGCTAAATCCAACTTCGCATTAATCACCTTCGCATTTTAACCTAATTAATCAAATGCGATTCACAAAATTTTTCATTCCAAATGCGAACACAGTTTAGTTCTTGATTAGTACGAAGGCTTAGGAAATTTTTAACACAAACTTTTCTCCTGTGATGTTTTCCCATTAACATAGCAAGTTATACAATACGAACATAACACTAACCCTAATACACAAGGTTAGTTGAGCTGACCGGTTTGACTCGTTGACTTTATTTGACTTTGAATTGACCAGAATTTGACGGTTGTCACAGTTTCTCTTCGCGTAAATTCGATTAAGGATATAGTGAGACGTATCGGTTGACACCTATTGAGTGTACGATCGTAGCTTGTAGTTTTAACAAGAGTCTTTTGGAGGGAGAGCGGGGGTTTGTGTAAACCCTAAACATATGAATTGTGAGAACGAGAGAGAATGAGAGAAGAGAAGTTGATCAGATTATGAATAATGACCCTTTTCAGTCACTCGATCCTTAAGTACCTGGGTTACACCAGATCTGAAGATCCGCGTGTAAACCCGGATGATTTTGTGTATATTACACTCCGCCCCCTCAATACTTCACATAAACCTGCACAACATTTTTAACACAAACACTACCAAATATATCCTATAATAAAAGTTAGTTTGAATATTATAAAACATTATTTATTTTAACACTCTTCTAATTACTTTCGATTATCAGTTAATATTATAAGAGCTATCCGGATACATGAATTCCAAAATTCCTACATCTTCATATGTAGAATTCATGAACAAAAATTTCTGATTAGGATGATAGTTTATGCATAATTCATTTTAAAAATACATCAGGTTCTCATCCTTTTTTAGATGACAGACTCCTAATTCAGAAACAGAACCATACAAATTCATCCTAATTCTATGCTTAATGGTAGAAATAAACTTTGATCAAAAGACCACCGAAAAGGAAGAACTTATAATTTTACAATTTTATATCGTGAACAATTATCTATTCAAACAACCCTAGTATACGAGCATCTTGCCTCATACCTTAATGTAATTCACACCTCATAATCATTCCCATATGTTGACGTCCTAAAGTTAATTTATACAGATGATATTTAGGCTAGCTCTCCATCTTTGTCCAATTTGATAGGAGTCGACATTTGGTCCTCATCCTTTGCTTAAGCATATGACATAACCAAACGACATATGCATATGATGGGGACTGTGGGTCCCCATGGATGCAAAATTATGGGGATTGTGGGTCCATGGGTCCCCATGGCTGCAAAATATAAATTCAATAAATGTTGTTTATTATAAACATTCAGATTAATTATATGACCAAAATTCAACAATCATGTAATAAATACCTTATACTATTTGAACGTATTAAGCCATAAGCCTATTAAGTCTATTATATCAAAAGGAAATAACCCCTAATTAGTATTAATCTCGGGTCAAATCGGTCACATATCAATTGGCATTTTCAAATGGGTACAATCCTAGTAATTCTATGACAAATTTATATACATACTAGTTTATAACATGTGGAAACCACGGTTACAAAATTAATTAAACTCTAATAGTAAAACTCAAAATTATTAATCACTTATTTTAAATAAATTATTAATTAAGAGATTTTTTAGTTATATAAAATTATAATCATTGCTTTAAATAAATATGTAAAATTATATCACTTTATAATTTGTGTTAATTTTATTTTAATTTTTTTCTAATGTTATTAATTTAATGTAATTAGAGTGGGAAATTTAAAATTTGAAATTTGATGGAGAATCAATAAGTTGACAAGTGACATCTATTAATTAGGAGACATAATAGAGTAACACATGACAAAATAAAACTAAAATACGCATTAATTATGAGGTCTAATATGGTGATACATATCAAAAAAAGAATAAAACTATTCTTTCAAAAGATTAGGGAGATTAAAGGCATATAAACCTTATGAACAGTCAACTATGTGAGGGGAGGGTGCTTTTTGACATAAATGGTCCATGAACTTTATTAAGATTGTCAGCATTGGCCCATTTTTTAATTTTTATTCAATTTTGGTCCATTTTTTTAAGTCTTCTGATTTTTTTTTAGTTAAACAAATGTTTTACGCAAAGCCTGAATCACCTACTAGTTATACTTCAAATCCTTCAATTCTATTTGACTGGTTAACCATTTTGATTCATTTTGCAATCAATCGCCACTACAAATCTTAATCATATTCATCAACAAAAAGAAAAGGTAATATCCAAAATATCATTAAGCATATCTTTGGTACGCAAATAGAATTGTTTCCTTTAATACATATTGAAACTAGACGAAGTCAAAAGCGTAGATAAGGGTGTACCTTCATATTAAACTTGTAATTACTCGTCAAAAGTGAAGCCTGGGATAAGGGAGATGTGGGGCCAATTGGAGCTTCTTATAATGCTCCTTTCTTGGGCATCTATCAATTATCAAAGACAAAAGCGAAGGAAACAACTTTTCTGGTAGATGTAACATCTTTGGGCAGTTGGAAACAGAGAGATGCTGGAGAGAGGTGAGGTGTTGGAGTCCATTGAAACTGATTCCAATTTTCGTAATTCCTTAATGGAAAGAGAAGCAAGAGATGAAGGAAGAAGATGTGACAATTGATCAAAGTTTTTCACATCATCATATAGTATTCCGCCATATAATATTAAGTTATCAAGTGAGGTTGGGTCGTTGGGAAATTCTATGGGTCCACTCTGAGATGGGCTTCTTCAACCCTCCTATTCCAAGGTAATTCAATTTGGGAGGACAAAGCCCACGAGGAAACGACGCATCGATAATTGGACACTTTATTGTTAAAGAGGTAAGATTGGGTAACTCATAGTCGGACTCCATAATTATCATCAATGTGGTGAGGTGAATTGAGCAACTCAATTCAATAATATATTTCAAATTCGGCCAACCACTTGTATCAACAGATTCAAGCATCAAAAGTGTTTATATCGTCTAAGAGTGTTAACGATAATGATAATTATTGTTGTCTATTCTATTAACTCGTGTATAATGTATATTTTTTATTTTATGTTTCTTAAATTTTGTAAATATTTTTTTGCAAATACCGAAATAGTCAAATACTATACTTCAATTCAAAAACTCTATGAAAAATAGCAATGTATTTGAAAGTAGGATGCTATAATTAAGACATCACCAAAAATGTACTTGCTCCGGATGCATTATGTAAAAAAAATAAACAACTTTTTATGATTGATATATAACTCTAATTAGATAGATTTGTCATAGAAAAATATTATAATAGGAACAAATGAAAGTCAGATGCTATAAAAGAAAAAAAATACAATTTTTTATGTCGGTCAACATGGCCACAAAATAGATATAACGTTAGTAGTTAAGGCCTTCTGGTATAGGGCATCACTCTACGCATAATGTCATATGTGGTATAGAAAGTCACGTGTGAATACCACCCCAAAGATGCGTGGGTGTCGTGTTTTTTTAGAACGACAAATCTAACATACTCTTAAACTACACCCTTAAATCCATCTATGTCCACGATGTGACTTGAACACTCAACCTCAATGAGAGATGGCAACACCGGATACCGTTGGGTTAGAAGCCCTTTGGTAGGGTGAGTGTCTTGTGGCGTGGTATCTCTCTGTGCAATCTCTCTCTTGTAGAACATTTATTTGTGTCTATCTCTCTCTACAATCTCTCTTCTTCACTACCATTTCACTAGTGAACACAATTTCCGCAATCTAATAGATTGGTTGTGAAATGGTTAAAATAATAAAGGAGTAAATTACACGAATGGTTCCTATGGTTTGGGATAATTTGCGTGTTTGGTCCCTAACTTATTTTTTTAACTCGGAAGATCCCTATGGTTTGTTTTTTTACGCGTTTCATCCCTACTGTTTATTTTTGTTACGCGTTTGGTCCCTATCTTATCTAAAAAGACTATTATTTAAAGAGAAAAAAATAATGGGGTAAGGTGAGGGGGTGGGATTAGGGGAGTGTTCAATTAAATAAATTAAAAAAATCAAGGGCATAATAGTCTTTTTAGGTAAGATAGGGACCAAGCGCGTAACAAAAACAAACAGTAGGGACCTTCGGAGTTAAAAAAATAAGTTAGAGACCAAACGCGCAAATTACCCTAAACCATAGGGACCATTCGTGTAATTTACTCAATAATAAAGTGACCTCTTTTCACTGCCTTGCACCCATGAGAATACCTCTGAGCCTAAGATTATAAAACACCAGTCTCTTGCTTCCCATATCACTCTTTTATGTGTTTTTTTGTCTATTACAATTTTACACATAAAAAGTCGTAAATTTTAATTCTACAAAATACAAATGTCTCAAACTATGTGATGTTAATTCTAAAATTGTCAATGAGACAACGAACAGAAGCGTAAGACGAACCTCCCTCTTTAACAGTCGCTTTGCTCTTTTTCCCCATCTCTTTTATCTTTTCTCTTACATCGTCATCCTCCATCAGCCGCCTTATCCCGCTCTCTATCTCCTCCGCCGTGACAATATTCCTCTTCCCATCAAACAAATCCTTCTTATAATCCAGCTTGATCTCCACCGCCAATCCCATCTCCACCATCATTCCAAACGCATTCATCTGTTGCTCGGCATAGATCGGCCATGTTGCCACCGGTACACAAAACCACAAACTCTCCAACAAAGAGTTCCACCCGCAGTGCGACACAAACCCCTCCAACTGCACGGTGTGCCAGCACCGCCGCCTGTGGAGCCCACCCGATCACTTTCCCGATTGAAGCAGTACGCTCCAGAAACCCTTCCGGCAATACCACTCCGGGATCCTCGTAATCTCCGGGAGCTCTTGATGTCTGCTCCGGCGAAGGAGGTTGACGTAGCGACCACAAGAAAGAACGCCCGCTTCGCTCCAAAGCGTATGCAATCTCCTTCACTTGGACTTCATCAAAACATCCCAAACTCCCAAAACACAAGAAAACAACCGAGGAAGGTGGTTGATTGTCCAACCAGCTGATGACGTCACTTTCCGACAGTGTTCCGGCACCGTCTTCTAGGTTCAGTACAGGCCCTACCGGATAAACAGACGGTATCCTGCTGTCGGAAGATAACGACTCGATTGGGCGTGTTTCTAATTCCAAGAATGTGTTAACAATGATAGCTTTCGCCTTTCTGAAGTTTCTTGTAACCAATAGTACATAATCCAACCCTTCCTTAGTATCGAACCCTGAAGGAAAGACCTTCGTCGGAACTGGATTCATGAAACCCGGAACCTGTATCTTCACATCGGAGTTGCTCAACTCGATAACATCTTTGTTGTGATCATCACATAGGGTTTGGATATGGAACTGAAAGCCAAGATAAGCAGCGTTAGATGTAAAGAATATGTAGGTTGGAACATTGAACTCGTTTGCCACATCTATCATCCCTGTGCAGAGCATATCGACGACGAATCCAGCTACCCGACAAGAACCCGTTTGACTTATCATGTTGCTTACAATGTCTCGCACGTATTTCCGATGGCTGTTTATGAAATTATTGACGAAAGTCATAGGAGCTTTTGGGTCACGTTCTGGTAGCGTTTCGTCTTGAGGGAGTTCGATGAAGTGAATGCGTTCGATGGGTTTCATGGTTAAAGATTCGATGTAGGTGGTGATAACTGAGCCAGATCGTGAGCTGGAAGGTGGGTTTATGAGAAGAACGGTTATGGAGAGCCTTTGATCTCGATTCACAAGTAGTTTTGCGAGATCGATTGTTGATCTGATATGACCGATTACTGGCGCAGGAATGAATACGAGTTGTGTTACTGTAGTCGTCATTTCTTTTGGTTTGAAAGAAGACGAATGAAGCAATATTTTTATCTATGGCTTTTACTCCCTGCAGCTGAGTAGCTCGCTGATATATTTTATTTCCTTCAAGGGAAATGGGCTCAGAGGTAAGACTGTGAGTTGTCACCAGTGTTAGCGGATAAACTAAATTGAAACTTCCAAGAATCATCACATGCTGCAGCGGTAAGGCTGGAGCGTGTGTACTGTAACCATATTTTCTTCTAAAGCCACGTAAATACCATGTCATTTTTCCAACAAAAATGTGGTTTCTTGCCAGACTCATCCTTGAGTGTTACATTTTATTTAAAAAAAAAATTAAATAAAATCTTTAATTTCTCCCCACCCAATCAAAAAAACAATCAAATTATCTACACCCAATCACAAGCCGTGACTATTTTTTGCCGCACTGCTGTTTGAACCGCACCAGGAGGTAGTGTTCGCTGCTTATGTGGTAAAACCACACTCACTGAAACCGCACCACACCCTGCAACCTTGAAACCGCACCACACCCTGCAACCTAAAAAAATAATGGGACCAACCAATAATAATATGTTTATTCCTTTTCATATCAAAAAAAATTTGGGGTGGATTTTGGAAAACAAGAGTCATATTTAAGAAGTGTCATAGATCCAAAGTCGTTGGTACCTTCTAGATTTCTTATTAAAGATGGGTTTTTAGTTTCTTAATTATATACGGTTTTTTTTCCTGAGATGTCAACCCTTGAAACAAATGTTGTCAAGATCAGAATTCTATATAGGATCGTTTTTTGGATCGTAAAATCGGGATCAAGATTCTAAGATCCTACAAAATAAAATATAATTTTAATTAATAAATTTTAATCATGAAAAATATTTCAAATATTCAACTTTTCGTTCAAAAACTATAAAAACTTCAAAATATCAATCATAAATCACAACACAAAATGATAAATGGTAAATTGGTAAATGGTAAAAAAATAAAGTGGTAAAAAAATTCATTTGCAAAAAAAAAAAAAAAAAAAAAAAAATCAAGGGAATGTATCGGATCTCGATCCTATGTACGATCTTACGATCTCACCTGCGATCCTACCCCAAATATGATCTGTTTACGATCCGGATCATTTTTCATACCTATGATCGTCAGAATCGCGATTTTAACAACCATGACTTTTTAGCTTAAGGTATATTTGTAATACCCATAAAAATTTAGCCAAATTAAAACATTTTAGTTCATTCAAAACCATTAAGTTCATACATCTCGTTTTCAAATTAGTTTAAACATCAGAGTACCTCCTAGAACCATATCATAAAACATGAGGAGCGGTACAATCATGCCTTCGCCTTGCCACGATCTCTTGAAGTACCTGAAACAATACACTGAAACTGTAAGTCCGAAAGCTTAGTGAGTTACCCCCAAAATACCAACCACAATACCATACACATAACATATCATATCGTAAACAGAACAGACATACATATCGAGTCTACAGTGTGACTGATCCGCCTGCACCAGGCCTTCAGTCCACCCAGTCCACTCTCTCTCCGAGTCTATAGTGTGATTGGTCCATCCGCACCGGGCCTTCAGTTCACCTGGTCCACTCTCTAAGTCTACAGTATGACTGGTCCGCCCGCACCGGGCCTTCAGACTGTCTAGTCCACTCTCCAAGCCTCGGCACATCTGGTCCGCCCTCTTGGGCCTTCAGCCTATCCGGACTGCTCGTCGGGCCTTCGGTCTAACTGGTCTGCCCTGGGTATGTTGGCTTACAGCACAAAATAGGACCCGCCTTAACCCAACCCCAGTCCAACAACCATGTGCACATAAACATATAATCATATAACATCTCACAACTAATCAAACCGATCCAGCATATCACATAACATAGCAACATCTTAACCAGGATACCGATCTAACCGGTCACTAGCATAGCATCATCCTATATACCATGATACCGATCTTAACCAGGTCTCTGATACATACCATCCTAACTAACATGATGCAAGCATAACAAAGCAATAACATAACAATAACTACCCGGATTTCCATCCGATAAAGGGCCGGCCTTGGTGCCTTAGACCCTGTTGATATAGTGAGGATAACTCACCTACAACTGTCGATTGAAGAACAAGATTACGCTGCTCCGACCACCGAAACGAACTCCACCACTGATCATTACCAAATAACCAAATTCAATAAATACCAATAATTACCAAAATACCCCTGAAAGTCAACTGGTCAACCCTTGGTCAAAGTCAAAGTACTCAGTCAAAGTCAACCTTCCTGGTTGACCCTACTCGCCGAGTCAACGCGTTGACTCGTCGAGTCCCTATACCCCAAAACTCCCAATCATGACTCAACTCGCCGAGTCCAACAATCTTCAAGTCCCATCCTGCTCAACTCATCGAGTTGTCCCTCAACACACCGAGACACGGCTTAACCAGCAAAGGCTAGGGTTCCACGACCAGACTCGCCGAGTCCAAGAACAGACTCACCGAGTCCAAGGCAATCTTCAACAGACTCGCCGAGTTGTTCTGCCAACTCGTCGCATCCAGGCTCATCGTCATAAGACTCACCGAGTCACACATGCGACTCGCTGAGTTACTATGCGACTCAAAGTCTGATCTCTAGCCCGACTCGCCGAGTCATCTCACAGTCTCGTCGAGTCTATACGTGCATTCTCATAATCTCGAATCACAGAGCTACTCCTTTGCTCTAAACAATAGATCTGGGTCTCTAAGGTCCATTAGCAACATAAAGTTGCTACCTTTATGAGCTTCTTGCCCCATAATACCAAAAACCACGCTAGAAAGGGACTTAATTCTTGGGGAAAGGCTTTTGCATAGCAACTAGAAAGGCTTTCTGCATCAATGACCCATATAGAACTCAGATTTGGAGTTTCAACTCTAGATCTAACTCATGCTTCAAGATCTCATCAATATTTCTCCAACCAAACCCTAAAACTTCATGAAAATGGAACTAGAAAGGAGAATGCCAAGGATAACGATTCCTTACCTCCAAAATGACCTCCTACTGAAGAGTAATCTGAATCTCCACAAATCTCCTTGATCAAAGCTTTTTGATCTTCAAGATCTCTTCACAAACCACTTAAAAATGCTCCAATTTGCTTCCAATGGATCTCACTCACGATTCTAGGGTTTCTGGATCTCAAAGGGGGCTAAGGGAGCTGAGGGGAGGACATTAAGTCCTTTAAATAGGGTGCAACCCCGAAGATTAGGGTTTTTCCTCGACCAGCACTGACAGTCCAACCGCCGACTCGCCGAGTCAGGCCACTTAACCCCGTGCCAGGCACCCGCTTCGACTCGGCGAGTCAAGAGACCTACTCGTCGAGTTCCTTCCTTTATTTTCACTTAGCACCCTCCAACTTCTTGCTTCCGAACTTGGGTTGTTACAATATTACTATTATTTTAATGTTTAGCTTAGATGTTTATTATATTTAATGCATGTTTGTTGTTTTATTTACATTAGAAAAAAAATACAACAATAGTCGGATAAATTCCAGAGGTGGTTGGTAACTCCACGGCAAATGAGTTTGGCAACTCCCATGTAATTAGGTTGAATCTTAATCTCAACCTCAAAATATGACCGGTGCAAGAAATACCAACCACCACTAACAACAAAATTTCAAATTAATCTCAATACATGTGCAAGAAGTACTTTAAACTCTGAAGAAACCGATGCAACGAAAGAAAGTAATGAAGGTGATGATGAATCTTAATATTATCCTTGTATCACTGTGAAACAATGTGTGTTGAATATTTGTAATCCTTTTGGTTTGTATTAGACTTTGAACAATATGTGTTGAATATCAATAATCTTTTCGGTTTGTATTAGACATTTATACGTTTGTAAGAACTTGAATGTTTGTTTTTTACCTGTATATGTTGCAAGTTTTCTAGAATTTTTAAACGAACATATATAAAATGGTTTAAAAAAAAAAGAATTTTTAAACTATTAAAAAAAAAAAAAAAAAAACTACCGAGGAGTTATCATGACAACATGTCATCGGTAAAAGCTTGTTCCAAAATACTATTTTTAAACTAAATCCACGACATGTCATCGGTATAAGTGTCACTTATACTAAAAACATGCCAACTGAATGTCGTCGGTATAGGTGTCACTTATACCAAAAACATGTCACTATGATAGGTGAAACCTATACTAACGACATGTCCATGATAGGTATTGAATTTTTTTTTTTCTATTATTTTTCTGAATATCATTCTAGAAAAAAGTTGTAGAGGCATGTCTTCGGTAAAAGTAGCTTTTATCATGACAATATTTTTGAGTTATAGCGACGAAGCGATACTAATGACATATTGTTGGTACATGTTTCTCAACGACATTTTGTTGGCATAAGGTAAAAAAATAATCAACACTTTTGAATCCTTGTAGTGATAGAAGACGGATTGTGATTTGTAAATCAAAGAAACTTGAATAGGAGTGAGAAACACTGAGAGATAAAGAGAGAATCGTCGATCAGAGAGAGGTTGTCAAGCTGAGAAAGAGTCGCAAAGGAGAAGGAGAACATGATAGACTCAAACTCGACAATTCATGGTTAGGGAATATGAAGCGCAATTCATGAATGAGATATAATGTTGTCGGTGCTAAAGTTAAATATCATAATTACAATTGTGTTTTTCAAAGGGTAAATAACACAAAAGACACTTAGTTTATACTAAAATTCTAATTTGACACCGTGTTTTTTTATCTCAAATTCGACACTGTGTTTTCTAATTTGTTATACTTCTGACCACTTAACCGGTTAACCAGGTTACATGCTGACGTGACATGATGACGTGTTAATTTTGATAACGTGACATGTTGATATGATATGCTGACGTGTCAAAATTGAATATTTTTTCCACAAAAAACACTAAGTTTTCACTTTTTTTGATTTTAACACTAAGTTTTTTTTTTTTTTTTTTTTTTTTTTTTTTTTTTTTTTTTTTGTTCCAAATCAAATATCATTTTTTTCCAATTTTGTTCAATGTTGA